CACTGGAAGCTGAGGATAAACGTCCTTAAACTTGGCTTCTTTCTCATAAGGTGGGGGTGTTTTTGCTGAATCCATATATGAGAAAGGTGTATTGACTTCTGCAATCAGTTTTTCTGTCACCTTCACCTCTTTTGCCATTTTCTCTGCACCTCTGTCTCTCTTATCTTTTGTGTCTTTTATCAGTTTTTGTCCTTCATTTTCAAAAAGCTTAAGAACACCCAGCTCTCTTTGTCTTTTTTCTTTACGAAGTTTTCCTTTCTTCCCCTTCTTTTGATCTGTCTTATACGTGGATACAAGCACTTGCATTATCTTGATGACGTCTGGATTAAGCGTGCCTTCCAATGGCCATGGTTGTTCAATGTCAGGCCAACGTTTATTCCATTTTTCAGATAATTTTGCTATACCATTAACTAGAGGATTACTATTCTGTACTACATGAAGAGGAGTAATTGCTTTTGTAGTTTTGGTGTCCTTTTTCCCCATTGTAATGACTATGTTATGTGTTTCCCTCTAGTTTCCCCCTTTTTTTTTTTTTTTTTTTTTTTTTTTTTTTAAATTAAAAAATAATTAATCAATTAATCCAATCAATCAATTAACCAATTCAAATCAATACATCAATCAACCAATTCAATCAATCAATCAATCAATCAATTACCAATGAAATCAATCAATCAATGAAATCAAATCAATCAGTCAATCAATTACTAATGAAATCAATCAATCGATTAATCCAACCAATGAACCAATCAATCAAATCAATCAACCAATCACTAATCAAATCAATTAATCAATTAATCCAATCAAGTAAATCAATCAATCACTAATCAAATCAATCAATCAATTAATCCAATCAACAAACTAACCAATCAAATCAATCAATGGATTACTAATTATTCTGTGAATTTTATTTTACCAAATTATTGATTAGTGGCAATCTTACCACATCCGATGAGGAAGAGTAAAGGAAAGTAGTCAACTCCAGAGCAATTCAATAATAAAAAATAAAATAAAAAGCTGTACCAGCAACACTACCCAATTGCTTAATAAGCAATTAATTACCTTAATTTTACAGAATAATTTCAATGCTGGATTTCCAACACAACTCTAATCAAAACAAGTCATTGACAAAAACTCTAATGTGCAATTATCAATTACATGAATTCATCAGTCTGTTGCCAAGCTCTTGCGAAATGGTCACAACATGAAATATTCTATGTAAACACAATGTATCAATTATATCCTGTAAGGGAAAGTAGATTTGTGAATAATAACAGCACTGGCCTTGATATGGACTGGGTTGCCGTCTCTGATGTCAGTTGATGTCAGCCCCTCCTCTCTCTCTCTCTCTCTGTCTCCTCCTTCTCGTCTCTCGTATGACAGAAGGACAAAAGGACAAAGAAGAGTTTAGTTTATACTTTTTCCACATACACGCTAAGAAATAAGCAAACAGCTTAACTCAGGAATATTATAAATAGCTCAATAAAATTTTATTTTATTCATTTATTTTAGTATTATTATTTTTAATCCGTCAATATATCTCTCATTCACCAACTCAACCGATTATCAACCAAACAGTTTTACAGTCAAGCAATAGTTAATTGAAAAGAACATTTCACTTGTGTGCAAAATTCCCCCTCCCGTTTTCTTTTTTGGCTGCACTGAAGTGGACTCTCCCAATCAGTTCAGTGCAGGGGAGTGGCTAAAGTCATAAATCCTACGCGTGCGCAGTTCAGTCACCAATGTGATTTCAGAGTGTAAGGACCGGACAGAGCAGACTGTTGCTCCGTTCTCTCCTCCCATGGACAATAACACTTAAGACTTTAACAGAGCTCACAAACTGAACACATAGAACATACAGAACACAGAACACAAATCCCACTTCCAAGTTATGTTATCTTTCACTTGTCCTAGTTTGCAGATTGATAGTTATGCTGTTATAAATTACAAAACATCTCTATACACTCTTAAAAAGTCCTCCCTGTAGGGTCATGCTATTGTAATAGTTAATGAACATTCTCATTTTATAGAGAATCATAAGGTTTGACCTTAACTAACATATTTCCTTACAAAAGAGTAAAGCCCTGTATTCGACACACATCTGGAAGTAATCAGAGAAGCAGCCACACTCACTCTGTTTCACACACGCACACGCTGACAGAGAGAAATTGTCACACACACACAGAGAGAAATTGGATCCATTTATCGCCGTTCCTTTGTCTTATATATTCCATTTGCTAAATTTCTGCTACCTTCCGGTTTTAGACATTCAAAAGAGAGGATTACTTCAGACAGATGTTTCGTCAAACAAATTCAGAGCGGTAAACTTACAATTGAATATATTGTCTTAAACCAGCAGTCCCGAGAACTGACTTGAGAGTTAATCTAATAACTATCAAGATTTATGGCCCATCTCTAATGATCGCCTCGTTTGAGGGCTTCCTTAAATTAACGGCGCCCTAAAAGTATACTGTCAACTCATTTCAAACGTTATCCTCTAAGCCTTTCCTTGGACACTCCTTGCACTTTTATTCAAGCCAAAACATCGGTGTCCTGTGGTGTGCCCTACAGACACTCCCCACTTTTTGCGTTGTTCTCAACGCAAACTAATTTAGAAAATTTAGAACGGAATTCCTATCACACAGCAAAAAGAACCAGCAAAACGCACACACAAGTTCTTAGACGGTGCATCCCCCCCAGCGCACACACACACAGCCACACGAACCGGCCAGCGCCCAAAGTTTGTGAGAAAACTCACCGTTTCAGCATGCCTCTTGAGCAGGAGTCACTTCGTAGCCCATGAGTGGAACGCTGAGAAAAGATGCAAGACGCCCCAACCCTCGTCGCCATTAAATGTGGTAAACAAGACCGAGCTTTTGCTGGTAAAGCCGTAGTGATAAGAAGATCCGCCGACACTGTACTCTGTTTTCAAAGGTTTATTATAACAAAGGTTCCAGCATCAGAATTTGACAGATTCTGCAGATATCTGTGAGACAGCACAGCCAATCAGTATTTTGCTGTTCTCCTTATTCTATTGTTCAAGACATGGTTTTATATAATTTATGACGTATTATGGTGTGATCCTAAAAACCAATCCCTGGTCTTTTCTACCTTACTCCTCATATCATATTTCCATAAGTAATGATTTCCAGATGTTTCCAGCACTGTAGAATAGAGTTACCTCATTTTGCCACATCAGCAAAATCTTAGGGCCACGTTTCCTACTTTATCTAGACTGTTTAAGATACTACAGTGTTCTTACACCATGATTGTGAACATTCAAAGCAACTGGGAAACACCCATGGCAGGCATTGTTGTCACCTTAGCTTGCTACATAATTTCTGAGTGATAGGAAGCACGAGCGCCACCACCAATCAGCCTACACCACTGCGCAGCGTAGCCATGTCAACAAATGACTGCTGTCTGAACACACACATCCGATTTGGTCACTTGTAACTTGCTGTTTGGACAGTCAGTAGACCAAAACGGATTTGAAAAACAAAACTGATTTGAGCATTAAGGCCTGCAGTGTGAACAAGGCTTTAGATTCTTTAATCAGTTTGTCTTATTGGACAGGTCAGAGTCTATGTTTTAAGTTGTTGAGTGGTATGGAGGTTTTTGGCAATACACTGTAGATGTATGTGTTCCAGGGTAGAGTGTTCCAGAGTAGAGAGACCCACAGTTGCTACTGTAATTTAGTACTGGCAGTGTCTGCTGTGGCAGGTGGGAAAGTGCAAGTTACCTGAAAAATAGCTAATCTCTCAATGTTCATCTCAGTGCACCAAACTCATGAATTTAGCTGTTGAAATTCCTTTGCCCCCGGACCCTACTACTGGCTTTGGGCTAAGCTCCCAATGTCTTCAAATCCTAGAAACAACCCTGCCTCTGGGGCCTGTTTGGTGTCACACTTTTTCCCCAGCCCCAGCTAACACAGATGACTCCAATAATCAACTAATCATGATCTTCAGTTTAGAATGCAATTAGTTTAATCAGCTGTGTTTGCTGGGAATGGGGGGAAAGTGTGACACCACTCTGGGCCCAAGGACTCTAGCAAAGATTATGGATATACTGACAAGATACATGTCTCTCTGCCCTAACAATGGGAGTTGTTGTCCACAAAGCGGCACAGCTGGCTGTCTAGCTCCCGCCTATCCTTTCTTTGGATTGGTGGATACATCTCATTATTGTAATCCTTTTTTGAATATTCAATGAGGGTTGTTGACATCAACCGCCTGTATTCAATGGAGAGAGATGCTAGGCTACCAGCCTCATTCCATGAATATGTATAGCCATCTCGAGACAACTCCGATATAAATATTTTATTCTCAAAGTTGCCGGGATGTCACATGTCCTACTTATATCAGTACATTCTTAACAACTTAAGCATTACAAAACTTATATTAGATCAAATAAACCTCAAGTAGAAACTAAGCCATTCATTTTTTTGATGACCAAATTCGACACTCTCATTGACCTCCATACAAAAATTCCTTGCTTGGCGGGCGAAACAACAAAAAACGCTGGATGGAGACAGATTTTCCGCCGAGTTTGGTCTCTCTTCCTCTTCCTCTCTGACTATAGTTGCCCATCCCTGCCCTAACCCCTCCTCCCAATGGAACGTCTCGTAATCTACCAGAAGTTTGTTGGGTGAAAGTGTATAATTTTTGTAATGGTGATAAATATTATTGTTTTAATTAGTCTTTGACCTCTCCTAGACACCTGTCTCAACTTCCCATGTAGATTGATGTCTTCTGGTTCCATATTACCATCTGCTGGTCAGTGTTTTACCCTACATCCATTCTAATAATGGGGATACAGCATATTGTAAAAAGGTACTTCCAACCAAATAATATTTTTGCTATTGTACGGTGTTGGCACACTAAATAATATTATTCTAACAACCTCAGAGAAGTTTTCAGAGCAGCTCAGTAAGAGGGCCTGTTAGACAAAAACAACACACTCTCATCCAGTTTGATCAAACCAATTCAGGGTCAAAGCCTTTATTATTTACACTCCAGACACATAGGTAAGTCAGTGATGGTCACTTCACTTTTTTTCCCAAAGCTCGTCGTTTCTTGGTGGCCCTCTGTGACGAGGAGGAGAGGCTCAGTGGAGCACTGGATGGTTGGGGGGCCCGGGGTTGGCTTCTTAGGGGGCCTGGGGCCATAGCCGCTGTCTTTCAGCTGGTGGCAGGGGGGGCAGGGGGTGTGGGGTTGGGGGCAGGAGTGGGGGCAGGGGGTTGGGCGGGAACGGTGAAGCAGCCCCTTTTGTGCCACTGCATGTCGTGCACTCGTCGGACGGACTGGATCTAAGGCGCCGTGGCTCCCCAGTCGTTCCAGTGCTTGTAGTCTCCGAGCTCAAATACATACTGGCGGCCCCTGTAGCCTGGGAATATGTAGCCCACCCACCTAGGGAGGATAGGGGAAGAGGAACATACAGTCATAATCACATTTATGATCTCAATGATTTGTAGAGGTGTTGAACTATGAACTTACGTTCCATTCAGAGCCTTTACACTGGCCACACGGTCCGGAAGCCATGGATGCACAGGCTGGGTACGTCATCGTCCACAATCTCCATCTTCCTCCCAGCGTAGCCTGGTTTGTCGAACAGGTGGAGTTTGTGATCTGCACTGTCCTGGGGAGGAACAGGTCAGAACGGGTTGTGGTTACGCTTTGTTTTCCACACTGCTATTTAGTTGGTGTTTACTTTGAAGGACGGGAGCTACTGTAGATTGGACCAAACTTGCAAGCTTATTATGGGAGATTATAAAAGTCCTTCAACATTACAATCCGGCAGTAGGTAAAGGCCAGTTCTGGGAGACTTCAGTCCAAACTGGGAGAGTTGGCAACCCTACTTAACTATAAATAACCTGGCTATTTATAGACAGAATAACTTTTTGGTCTATTTACCCTTTAGCTTGACTAGTCTCAGATATTGCCGACCTTGAAGCAATGTAAGCCTATAGGCAACGGCACAAGGTCTGGGGAGGATGTTGGCTTTTCTCTGACATTTCAAAATACAGTGGGGAGAAGTATTTGATACACTGCCGATTTTGCAGGTTTTCCTACTTACAAAGTATGTAGAGGTCTGTCATTTTTATCATAGGTACACTTCAACTGTAAGAGACGAAATCTAAAACAAAAATCCAGAAAATCACATTGTATGATTTTTAAGTAATTAATTTGCATTTTATTGCATGACATAAGTATTTCATCACCTACCAACCAGTAAGAATTCCGGCTCTCACAGACCTGTTAGTTTTTCTTTAAGAAGCCCTCCTGTTCTCCACTCATTACCTGTATTAACTGCACCTGTTTGAACTCGTTACCTGTATAAAAGACAGCTGTCCACACACTCAATCAAACAGACTCCAACCTCTACACAATGGCCAAGACCAGAGAGCTGTGTAAGGACATCAGGGATAAAGTTGTAGACCTGCACAAGGCTGGGATGGGCTACAGGACAATAGGCAAGCAGCTTGGTGAGAAGGCAACAACTGTTGGCGCAATTATTAGAAAATGGAAGAAGTTCAAGATGACGGTCAATCACCCTTGGTCTTGGGCTCCATGCAAGATCTCACCTTGTGGGGCATCAATGATCATGAGGAAGGTGAGGGATCAGCCCAGACCTACACGGCAGGACCTGGTCAATGACCTGAAGAGAGATGGGACCACAGTCTCAAAGAAAACCATTAGTAACACACTATGCCGTCATGGATTAAAATCCTGCAGCGCACGCAAGGTCCCCCTGCTCAAGCCAGCGCATGTCCAGGCCTGTCTGAAGTTTGCCAATGACCATCTGGATGATCCAGAGGAGGAATGGGAGAAGGTCATGTGGTCTGATGAGACATAAATAGAGCCTTTTGGTCTAAACTCCACTAGCCGTGTTTGGAGGAAGAAGAAGGATGAGTACAACCCCAAGAACACCATCCCAACCATGAAGCATGGAGGTGTAAAAATCATTCTTTGGGGATGCTTTTCTGCAATGGGGACAGGACGACTGCACTGTATTGAGGGGAGGATGGATGGGGCCATGTATCGCGAGATCTTGGCCAACAACCTCCTTCCCTCAGTAAGAGCATTGAAGATGGGTCGTGGCTGGGTCTTCCAGCATGACAACGACCCGAAACACACAGCCAGGGCAACTAAGGAGTGGCTCTGTAAGAAGCATCTCAAGGTCCTGGAGTGGCCTAGCCAGTCTCCAGACCTGAACCCAATAGAAAATCTTTGGAGGGAGCTGAAAGTCCGTATTGCCCAGCGACAGCCCCGAAACCTGAAGGATCTGGAGAAGGTCTGTATGGAGGAGTGGGCCAAAATCCCTGCTGCAGTGTGTGCAAACCTGGTCAAGACCTACAGGAAACTCATGATCTCTGTAATTGCAAACAAAGGTTTCTGTACCAAATATTAAGTTCTGCTTTTCTGATGTATCAAATACTTATGGCATGCAATAAAATGCAAATTAATTACTTAAAAATCATACAACGTGATTTTCTGGATTTTTTTTAGATTCCGTCTCTCACAGTTGAAGTGTACCTATGATAAAAATTACAGACCTCTACATGCTTTGTAAGTAGGAAAACCTGCAAAATCGGCAGTGTATCAAATACTTGTTCTCCCCACTGTATATATTTGTTCTTTTACAGACAACTCTCCCAACAAATCACAAGTGTGGATAGGCAGGGCTTAAAATGTCCTCTGCCTGGGGCCTCCAAATCACTAAGTCCGCCCCTGTCTCTGTCCCAACTGATGCCCTACTTGTACAGACATTTTAGCTGGAGCATTGATACATTGCCAGGAGCAAACCGTCTGTCAAGAGAGACTATATATAGCTTGACAGTCTTGTCTTATTTTGTCTATATTCTCTCTGTATATTCTGTTTATTGTACAGCGTTTCACCAGGTCAAATTCCGGAAACATGTAATGATACGTTGTGAATTAAGTTGATTCTGATTGTAATTATAATTCCAGGGACTGACCACTCAGAGTGGCCTGAAGGACAGCAGGCAGTTGGTCCAGGTGCTCCAACGAGGATACTCTCCCTTCTCCAGGACAAACTGCTCCCCGCCAAATGCCTGGCACTCAAATGCTACCCAGCTGAGAACACAAACGTTATTGCACTTTACCAATTGGTTGTACATGAACTGATAGTTGTGAGATAGTAAATGAAAGGTAATTGATAAGAACTGTAAATGTGATCGAAATGTATATACTGTATAGAATAGGAATGTAATTTAATTGTCTAGAGACTGAGGTTGGATTAAATAAGGGCTGTCAGTGTCATAAGAGGCTGGGAGTAGTGGAGAGACAGGTAAACAGGAAGTGGCTAAGAATGAGGCATCATGGAAAATGTAGGAAATCAAAATCGTTGACACTTACGGTCCAGATTCCACAATGACAGATCCCACCTTCTCACATCCCTTCTCAATCACATCCTTACACTCTGCAGACAGCTCCAACTTCTTCCCATGGAAATTCTCCAACTCAAACACCACCACCTGCAAGGCAAGCCAGGGAGAGGCCCAGGTCAGTGGTAAGTAAGCCATAATACATAGTGTAAAATAAGCTAAACAACAAATTCAACATTAGCACAAACTGCATAGGCCTACAGGTTGCACAGTTCTAATTTAACAATGTACTGTTAAGTGCAGTGTAATTGTGCTGTACTTGCTTATGTCATTGTAAATACGTAGTATCAGTGACCCTTCATAAAAGTGGGACAATGGGAACACTAGGATATAACTATATATTTTTTAAAGTCCATTGACACCTTGTAGCTCTGGGGTGAAGTTTCCCCAAAGTTGCAGATCTAGGATTAGCTTCCCCTTCTGCCTAACACCCACCTTGCAAATTCACCCTACACCCACCTTGTAGGTGGCTCCTGCCCCTCCTTGGCTCTTTCCAGCTGCTCCGGTGCACCCTGCTGCTCTGACATTTTCCCTCATCATTCCAAAACATTCCCAAACACAGTCAGTCACTTAGCACAATGGCAGCACAGCACCCTCCCTCCAACAGGGACTATAACAGCTAACTCAGAGGTGGACTGTGCCGTGGTCACTTTATGTCTGGCCAACGACGATCCAGACTTGAACTACGCCGATGAGAGCAGGGGTTAGTAGGCCGACATGTAACCTCAGTAGTGAGCCA